TTTCATGTTTTCATTCTAATTTTTCTTCCTCCACAAGGTTTAGTCTTTTTTTTCCTGAGTATGAAAAATTATTTTAAATGTAAGATCTTCGAAAGATGACAGTTTGTAGATGTTGCTGCAGGCTGCAATTTGCTAGTATTGTATTGCAGCTCCCCCTGCCGCTTTTTTCCCCCCTGTTATAACTGTGCAGTATGAACTCCCCCTCAAGCAGGGGGTGTTAATGCAGTGATTGTGAGCGGCCACAGGAAACCATGATGTGATGCCGCAGGTAGAGTGCCGTCCTTCCATGGAATGCCGTTGCATTGGATGAATGCATCTGAAGGTGTCCGGACACACTTTAGTTAGTTTGCTTGTGTAAGTTGCACATGCAAAAACTGGTACTGGTGACACTGTCAATTACTGCATTATTTGGCATCTCTTGGGTATTTTCTTGTTTATTAACTGCTACAGTGTTTCTCTTTCAGGCTAGACTCGGTCTGCCTCAGAGGAAACGCATCACTAATGCATGTGTATTTTGACTGGAGGCAGTTTTCTGCATGCCATTATAAAGATTGGTTTCTTACTGAGTGTGTGAAAACAAGACTTAAAGATCAGCATCAGCTAATGTGTTTTTGTTTGTTGGTTTGCCTGCCCGCTGCGTGTGACATGCCGTCCAGCACTGTCAGCATTTGTGGTGCTCCTTAAATACTTTGAAAACGTGTTTCTGATAGATGGATTTGTCATTACTCCTGAAGGGCTTAGAAAACTGTCTGAGTTCTGAAGGATCTGAGACTAGTTGTGTAATACAGCAGATTTGGACAGGGCCTTATGTACCGTTTCCACCTGGAGGCCACACTTTTATGGAAATGCAAAGTCTGAGATGAACTGAATCTAGAAACTGTTAAGATAAAGTATGTCAGTGATTATTCATTTAACAAAGTACTAATTAAATAGTGTAGTGATGCTAAATTCTGCCTGTTAGTAAAAGGTGGTAATAATGGAATACAGTACAAAGAATTATAATAAAATCATTATATGACCAACACTCTCTCCCTTCTCATAATCACTCCTGCCTGCATAGATTTTATAAAGGATGATATATGTTCTGTATATCTGACATTGTGTATTTGTGTGTTTTACCCCTGCAGGGTATCGAGGGCAAAAAGGGGAACGAGGTCAAATGGGGTTAGGACTTCCAGGAGCTCCAGGCCCCACTGGCCCACCAGGTAATTCTGGATGAACATTTTAAAGTTTGTTGACTTTCTATCTGTGACGTGTATTTTATTTACCGCAGAAAATAATTTCGATTATATATGGTGTTTTTTTTGTTGTTGTTGTTTGATTTTTGAAAACAAATTAATTAAATTGATAAAAAATGACAGAAAGACCTTTATATTGTCACAAAAGATTTGTACTTCAAATAAATATTGTTCTTTTCAACTTTCTCTTTATCAAAGAATCCTGATATGAAGTATCATGGTTTTTAACAAAAAATATTATTCAGCACAACTGTTTTCAACATTGATAATAATAAGGCATGTTTCTTAAGTTCTTAAGTTCTAATCATTACATTAAAATGATTTCTGAAGGATTGTGTGACACTAAAGACTAGAGTAATGGCTGCTGAAAATTCAACTTTGCCATCACAAGAATAAATTACATTTTATAATATATTCAGATAAAAACAGCTATTTTAAATTGTAATACTATTTCACAGTATTAGTGCTTTTATTGTATTTTTGTAAATAAATGCAGCCTTGGTGAGCATAAGAGAATTTCAAAAACATTTTTAAAAAATCTTGTCAACCCCAACCTTTTGAAGTCCTTTGTATTTTTGCTCTAAACTTTTCATGGTGTCTTTGCCTATAGGTTTCCATAGAATAGCTTTGTTTTTACAAAATGAGGAGTAAATTGAATTATTTTTGGACAGCATGCCTCAGATACTACCATTGGACCTTAAGATGCGTTTAACCCAGAATATTCCTTTAATACATGAGCCGTGACACCACATAATGAGTAGAGATAATTAAAAAAAACTAAGGATCTTGTTGTTGGTTATTGCTTTTAAGAGTGAGAGGTACATTATCTGTTATATAATAGCATGTATAGGCTAGATTGACAGGCTAGATCAAACTCATGTAGAACAATAGAGAAAAAAAACCTTGCTTTGTGTTTTTGTTGGGGTCCGGAAAGGCTTGTAAATACATTTCCGTGATGGCCGTTCTTTGCACTTTTCACACTCTTGAAATCTGCAACACACAGATAGAAGCAATTATTTAAATTGGTGCTTTAATGTTTTACTTTTTAAAAGCACAGGCAGATAATGGCACCAAACTAAACTAATGACTACGGCGTTCTTTAATGAACGGCCCTTTTATAGAGGTACAAAGTGCTCACTGATTGTTCTTCAAATGAAAAAATACAAAAGAGACTTTAACTGGGGGTTCTTTATAATTGCACGGCACACTGTTATCAGCGTATGCTCTGATTTCCCTCTTTCTCTCATCCTCTGCAGTTAAAGGGTAACAAGCCCATAAAAATAAGTTTTATTGTGTTTATATACTGCACTATTTTGTCGTGATCACTCTACAGTAAAAGTGCCTTTAAATAACAGTGTTTACAAAGGCAAACGTCATTATCACTATTATTACTGCTCATAGAAATCACCAGAAAACCAGCAACTGCATAGCAACACCTCAGTAGCATGTTTTGAAAAATTGAGTTTATTCTGGTATTTACTACCTGTTCTTGATTTGTCTACAGGCTCAACCGGAATAGGATTCCAGGGTCCCAAAGGTGCTCCGGGGCCAGAGGGAAGATGTAACCCCAGCGACTGCTTCCATCCTTACGCCAGACGGGACGGCTAGAATCTGATGCATCCTCATGAAAACCCGATTAGATCCTGGAAACCTGTGAACCAGCTCATCTACACAAGCATTAAATCCTATTGAAACAAACGTAGGATCCCTGCTGGAGGAGAAGAAACACGCAAACGTCATCCACACAGAGCAGCCATTACTGGTGATGTCATTTCATCATTTATCTCCGTTTCATTTCCCATATTTGTGACCAATGCATTTACTCATTTCCCATGTTTTGTGGGTATGACGTGAGAATTCAGATCTCATCATTACACTAATCACACCGGACAGGTTTATCTGAGGCATATGGCGAATGCAGGTGGAATGAGAATTTACATTTGTTTATTTTCTTCAAGCTGTTGTGAAGTTGAGTTTTGATTCAATTGTGATGGCTCTATGCAATCTAAAATAGAAAACGAGTATGTTAACAAAAATTAAGTTAACGTAAATAACAGACATTGTAATTGTTTTTCAGACATTTAATTTTGACAAATATTTAAATAAGTGTACTTTCCAGCCCTGCGGGAAGAACATTGCTTGAGTTAGGGAGTTATTGTCATGATTATCACCTCAGACACATATATATGCATTTAAACATGTGAGACCACTAGTAAAATTAAAACATTTCAAACATTTCAATTTAATAATTAATAGTAAATAAATTATAAAGTAATAATGTAAAACTTTCATTGTACTGTATGTACTGTAGTATTTATTCTATTATTTATTTAATAATTATTAGGGATGCACGATATTATCGGACCAATATCGGAATCAGCCGATAATGGCTTTAAATGTAAATATCGGCATCTGCCGATATGAAAGATTATGCCGATATGTCTTGTCGATAAGAGGAATACATTAACTCACATGTGTTCAGGGTGTGCTAGCGATTAGATCAAGTCAGCATTGTGGCTCATTCTTGAAGCAAAGTTTTGCCTGAATGGTGATTAGATTCACTGCTTTGGATCGCTGCATTTAAACTGAGAATGCAGGTACAGAATGAGGTGTTCGGTGTATGATAGAGTAAACAGTATTAGCACATGCAGCAGCAGCCTCCCCTGGGTCCTAATATCCGCTCAGTAAGGAGTTTTAATTCCGTAGGGGGCGCTGTTGGCCTACTTATAAT